CTTATCAACACCCTCTCCATCTGTCCTCACCGGCTCTTCTCCACCTTCAAATCCCTGCTCTCTCCCCAGCCACCTCCACCCAGCACCTCCCTCACCACCCACGAGATTGCCAATCATTTCCAAAACAAGATTGACGCAATCCGTAAGGACATTGTCAACTCACAATCCACCTCTCCACCCAGCCTCCCGCTCTCCTTTAACCCCTCAACCCTCCCCTCCCCCGACCTCATAGCCGCACTACCCCCCACTATACCTAATGCCCCGTACACCATCACCTTCCCAACACTCCGATCCTTCAGCCCAACTACCCCTGAGGAGGTCTCTAAGATCTTCACTGAAGCCTGCCTCACCACCTGCCCCCTGGACCCTATCTCCTCACAGCTCCTCCAGTCACCCCCCCCCTCCATCATTCGGTCTCTCACCCACATCTTCAATCTCTCCCTCTCCTCCGGCACCTTCCCCTCCCCTCTAAAGCACACACACATCACCCCCATACTCAAAAAACCCTCCCTTGACCCCACTAACCTTAACAACCCTAGACCCATCTCCCTGCTGCCTTTAACTTCCAAGCTCCTTGAGCGCCTGGCCTACAATCGCCTAAGCATCCACCTCACTGATAACAACCTCCTTGACCCCCTACAGTCTGGCTTCCGTCCCCTGCACTCCACCGAAACCGCCCTACTTAAAATCACCAACGACCTGCTAACCGCCAAAGCCAATGGCCACTATTCTATTCTCCTGCTCTTCGACCTCTCAGTGGCCTTCGACACTGTTGACCACCCTCTCCTTGCCATACTGCACTCCCTTGGCATCAGGGACGCTGCTCTCTCCTGGTTCTCCTCCTACTTTTCCCAACGCTCCTTCAGCATCACCTACAACACTGCCACCTCCCCCTCCCTCCCCCTCTCTGTTGGGGTCCCCCAAGGCTCTGTCCTTGGGCCCCTCCTCTTCTCCATCTATACCTCCTCCCTTGGCAAACTTATTCACTCCCACGGCTTCAATTACCACCTCCATGCCGACGACACCCAAATTTACCTCTCCACCCCCCACCTCACCCCCTCACTCTCTGCCCGCATCGCCCACCTCCTAAACGACATATCAGACTGGATGTCGCTCCATTTCCTCAAACTTAACCTATCCAAAACCGAGCTCCTGGTCTTTCCCCCCCCCCCGCGCCCCCCCCACCCTCTCCATCACTACTAACAACGCCACCATCTCTCCCACCCCACACGCCAAAGTCCTGGGTGTCACCCTGGACTCCCACCTCTCCTTCCTACCCCGCATCCAACTGCTATCTAGATCTTGCAGGCTCCACCTCCGCAACATCTCCAAGATACGCACATTCCTCACCCCAGACACCACCAAACAACTCGTACACTCCCTCATCATCTCATGCCTGGATTATTGCAATTCCCTTCTCACTAGCCTACCCAAACGAACGCTATCCCCACTCCAGTCGATCCTAAACTCAGCGGCTAGACTCATCCACCTCACCAACCGCTCCACATCTTCCTCCCCCCTCTGCCAATCCCTTCATTGGCTCCCGATTGCCCAACGCATCAAATTCAAACTGCCAACTCTGACCTACAAAGCCATTCACAACGCCGCCCCAAACTACATAACCGACCTGATACCCAAATACTATCCTACCCGTGCCCTCCGCTCCTCACAGGACCTCCTGCTCTCTAGCTCCCTGGTCTCCTCCTCCCACGCCCGATTTCAGGACTTCTCTAGGACTTCCCCCATCCTCTGGAACTCCCTACCCCAATCCATCAGACTGTCACCTACCCTCCTCACCTTCAGGCGCACCCTGAAAACCCTCCTCTTCAGGGAAGCCTACTCCAACCTCACCTAACACCCGACCTCACCTAACAATTAACCTCCTTCATTCCTCCCACCACTCCATCCCCCACAGCCATTTCCTCCTGTACCACCTTCCCCTCCCTCCTAGATTGTAAGCTCGTAAGAGCAGGGCCCTCGAACCCCTCGTGTATTGTTACTGTCTTGTCTCATGTTCTGTACCCCTTGCTACTGTACAGCACTGAGCATACCCTTTGGCGCTATATAAATACTGTATAATAATAATAATAATAATAATATATTCCCCTGCTGGAGGCAGAACAGGAAACACTTATGATACTTAGCACCATTTAGTCGCCAAATGTGGTATTTTCTGTTCTAAATTGAAGAAAAAGTATTTGTCCAGCATAGAAGATGGCATAAAAACATTCATTTTTTTGCCACATTTGTATTGAAACAAATGTACATGCACTTGCAACGGGCAAATTGCTGTGTGAGTTTTTTCAATACACCTCTTCGAGTATGGAAAAGAAAAGCAGGATTTGGTCTAGCCAGTTCATCCTTTTGCTTCTTGAAACTCTGAAATAATAATGCAAGAGGTAGACTCCACTATTGAGAAGTATTACACACTATGCAGTAATCTGTACATAAGAAACATGTGGATTATGTCAGCAACAATATATTTTACCAGAGGTTTAAGACAGCATTCAGGTACAAGGGTGTCAAACTAGCGGCCATCCAGCTGTTGTGAAACTACAAGTCCCATCATGCCTCTGCCTTTGGAACTCATGCTTGTAACTGTCAGTCTTGCAATGGCTCATGGGACTTGTAGTTTGGCAAGAGCTGGAGGGCCGCCAGTTTGACACCTCTGAGGTACAGCATGTTGAGACATAATATATATGCACATTTCTATTAACAGGTTTTTTATCATCTTTTTCTTTTGGTGCAGAAGAAAGAAAAGGAGAGTATGATTGGTTGGTTAGGTAAAGGTAGAACTTGCTAAACAAACTTTCATTCATGGTGCTCAGCTATTCCATATAATAGATTCAGTATCTATCATTTTTGTGTGTTATCTATTTTAAATTTATGTTTAACCACTAGCCTACCGGGCACTTATACCCCCTTCCTGCCCAGGCCAATTTCCAGCTTTCAGCGCTGTCACACTTTGAATGACAATTGCGCGATCATGCAACACTGTACCCATATGAAATTGTTATAATTTTTTTGTGACAGAGCTTTATGTTGGTGGTATTTAATCACCTCTGGGGTTTTTTTTTTTTCTTAAAACAAAAACCACAGAAAATTTTGAAAAAAAAACATTTTTCTTAGTTTTTGTTATACAATTTTGTAAATAAGTGATTTTTCTCCTTCACTGATGTACACTAATGAGGCTGCAGTGATGGGCACTGATAGGCTGCACTGATGGACACTGATAGATGGCACTGATGGGCACTGATGAGGAGGCACTGGTAGGTGGCACTGATTGGCAGTTTGGCAGGCATCACTGATGGGCACTGAAAGGCAGCACTCATACAGTCATGGCCGAAATTGTTGGCACCCTTGATATTTTTCCTGAAAATCAAGTATTTCACACAAAAAAGGTATTGCATTAACACATGTTTTGCTATACACATGTTTTTCCCTTTGTATGTATTGGAACAAATATAAAACAGAGGCAGAAAAGCAAATATGACATAATGTCACACATCAAACCCCAAAAATGGGCTGGACAAAAGTTATTGGCACCCTTAACTTAATATTTGGTTGCACACCCTTTGGAAAACATAACTGAAATCAGTCGCTTCCTATAACCATCAATAAGCTTCTGACACCTCTCACCCGGAATTTTGGACCACTCTTCCTTTGCAACAGCTCCAGGTCTCTCTTATTGGAAGGACACCTTTTCCCAACAGCAATTTTAAGATCTCTCCACAGGTGTTCAATGGGATTTAGATCTGGGCTCATTGCTGGCCACTTCAGAACTCTCCAGCGCTTCTTTGCCATCCATTTCTGAGTGCTTTTTGACGTATGTTTGGGGTCATTGTCCTGCTGGAAGACCCAGGATCTTGGACGCAAACCCAGCTTTCTGACACTGGGCCCTACAGTGCGACCCAAAATCCTTTGGTAATCCTCAGATTTCATGATGCCTTGCACACAGTCAAGCACCCAGTGCCAGAGGCAGCAAAACAACCCCAAAACATCATTGAACCTCCACCATATTTTACCGTAGGTACTGTGTTTTGTTCTTTGTAGGCCTCATTCCGTTTTCGGTAAACAGTAGAATGATGTGCTTTACCGAAAAGCTCTATCTTGGTCTCATCTGTCCACAAGACGTTTTCCCAGAAGGCTTTTGGCTTACTCAAGTACATTTTGGCAAACTGTAGTCTTGCTTTTTTATGTCTCTGTGTCAGCAGTGGGGTCCTCCTGGGTCTCCTGCCATAGCGTTTCATTTCATTTAAAATGTCGACGGATAGTTCGCGCTGACACTGATGCTCCCTGAGCCTGCAGGACAGCTTGAATGTCTTTGGAACATGTTTGGGGCTGCTTATCCACCATCCGGACTATTCTGCGTTGCAATCTTTCATCAATTTTCCTCATCCGTCCACGACCAGGGAGATTAGCTACAGTGCCATGGGTTGCAAACTTCTTGATAATGTTGCGCACTGTGGACAAAGGCAAATCTAGTTCTCTGGAGATGGACTTGTAACCTTGAGATTGTTGATATTTTGCCACAATTTTGGTTCTCAGGTCCTCAGACAGTTCTCGTCTCCTCTTTCTGTTGTCCATGCTTAGTGTGGCACAGACAGACACACAATGCAAAGGTTAAGTGAACGTCTCTCCTTTTTATCTGCTTTCAGGTGTGATTTCTATATTGCCCACACCTGTTACTTGCCCCAGGTGAGTTTACAGGAGCATCACATGCTTGTAACATTCTTATTTATCCGCAGTTGTGAAAGGGTGCCAATACTTTTGTCCAGCCCATTTTTGGAGGTTTGTGTGACATTATGTCGAATTTGCTTTCTTTCCTCCCCTTTTTTTGTTTTGTCCCAATACACACAAAGGGAATAAACATGTGTATAGCAAAACATGTGTTAATGCAATACGTTTCGTGAGAAATACATGATTTCCTGGAGAAATATCAAGGGTGCCAACAATTTCGGCCATGACTGTATATGGCACTGATAGGTGGCACTGGTAGCGGCACTGACTGGCACTGATAAGTGGCACTGACTGGCACTGTTAGGTGGCATTGATAGGCAGCACTGATGGGCACTGATAGGCAGCACTGATGCACACTCATAGGCAGCACTGACTGGTACTGATAGGTGGCACTGACTGGCACTGATAGGTGGCACTGATTGGCAGCACTGATAGGTGGCACTGACTGGCATTGATAGGTGGCACTGACTGGCACTGATGGGTGACACTGAAAGGCAGCTCAGATGGGCACTGATATGTGGCATTGATGTGCACTGGTAGGCACTGATATGTGGCATTGATGTGGCACTGATGGGCTCTGGCAGGTGGCATGGATGAGCACTGACAGCTGGCACTAATGGACACTGACAAGTGGCACTGCTGGGGCTACACAGATCATCAGGGGACACTGATCATCAGTGCCCTTCATCTTCGGCTTTTTCCGTCGATCGGTGATCCGCTGTGTCCTAGGGACACAGCGCACCACCGATCGCCGCGCTGCGCGCTCCCGGAGCTACGCATGTGCGGTTAGAATTGGAGGGCGTCATGTGACATCCTCCCAGAACGAAAGAACCGCCTTGCACCCATCATTGTACTATATGGTGGGCGGGAGGCGGTTAAAGTGTATGTGAAGCCAATAATTTTTTTTTTTCAGTTTTGGAAACATTTGGAAATTTTTAAGTGCTCTCTGAGTCTTTTAGGCTCCATTCACACCAATGCGTTTTTCGGCGCTTTTTGCAGAAACATCTGTGCTTTTTTGAGGTGCTGCGTTTTTGGAAAAGGTCAGGCTCTGTTCAAACCTATGCAGTTTGTTTTTTTTGTCCATTTTGCAGTGCTTTTCGCAGTTCATTTTGCATTTTTCTACATGGCTTTTTATGCATTTTTACCGTGTTTCGCGATTTTGTTCAGCTCTATTTTTTTTCTTTTGTTAAAGTCGAAATTTTTTTGTTGCTGGGCAGAATAAAAATGGAACACAACAAAAATGCACTACCATGCATTTCAGCAGCTTCTCCATTGAACTGTATTGTAGCAAAAACACTGCTTGTTACTTTTAAAAAAGTCTCTGGCCCTTTCCAAAAACTCAGCAGCTCAAAAAAGCATAGATGTGAACATGTTCAATGGGAAACCATGTTAAATGGACTGTAGTGGTGTTTCTGCAAAAAACACTTAAAAATGCATTGGTGTGAACAGAGCCTTAGAGAGATTTACCTTCACTTCCCATCTTGCGGACAACTGTGTCATCAGACAGGATGTGGAGGAAATTCCTCAACCATGACCCAGACTAAAATTACTATTCTTTCCTTTAGTAGAATTGTGGAATACTAGAACCCTTCACAGCGTTTCTCTGTTGCAAGTTTTTCCTCATTTCCATTCTGGTGAAACCATGGTCAGCAGGACAGAAGGTGATGATAAATCTTTGTCAGAGTTCATTTATACTTGTGTTGACTGTGAAAAGCTATCTGCAGTGGATCACTTTTCACAGAATGACAAGGAGGCCTGACAGGCTGCCAAGAGGCGATATGACCCCAAGTTAATGTTTTTTTCAATGCAGGTTTTTTCAGTGAGAATACTGTGCCTAGCATCTAGCTCACAGCTGCTGCATGACCCCATTCACTTAAATAGGTTGGATTCTGTGTCAATACTGCCTTCTGAACACAAAAGTGAGGATAACAAAGTACAAAGTATTGTGGCCGTGGCATGTGTATACTCCTATACGGCTACATTTGCAGCTTAAAGTGGTAAAAAAATCAGATTTTTTTAAATGCCCCCCTGCAGAGTTATGCCATAATGTATATTAGCACATTAAGCAGATTTACCTGTCCAAACACAGCCCTCCAGCATTGTGGTCTCACTGCTCCTGGCACTTCTCTTCACCCCGGTCTTTTTTCTACTACTTCTCCAGCCGTTGAAAGGTGGGGCCACAATGACATCACTCCCACGCACGTGCACTGGAGTCATGATTGGGGCACAGCACTCTCTGCTTCAGGGCACACTCAGTGCCTTGTATGCAGAGAGCACTGTGCATGCACAGTGACGTCAATAGCTGGAGCCAATATGAATAGCGTGCTCTCTGGCCATTTGGAGGGTTGGGCTGCAATGACATCACACTGGTGCATGCTCACAAATGTCATGATTGCGGCACGATGCTCTCTGCATTCAGGGCACACTCAGTGCCTTGTATGCAGAGAACACTGCATGCACAGTGACGTCATTAGCTGGAGCCAATGTGAATAGCGTGCTCTCTGGCCATTTGAAGGGTTGGGCTGCAATGACATCACACCAGGGCATGCTCACAAATGTCATGATTGCGGCATGATGCTCTCTGCATTCAGGGCACACTCAGTGCCTTGTATGCAGAGAACACTGCATGCACAGTGACGTCATTAGCTGGAGCCAATATGTGAATAGCGTGCTCTCTGGCCATTTGGAGGGTTGGGCTGCAATGACATCACACTGGTGCATGCTCACAAATGTCATGATTGCGGCACGATGCTCTCTGCATTCAGGGCACACTCAGTGCCTTGTATGCAGAGAACACTGCATGCACAGTGACGTCATTAGCTGGAGCCAATGTGAATAGCGTGCTCTCTGGCCATTTGAAGGGTTGGGCTGCAATGACATCACACCAGGGCATGCTCACAAATGTCATGATTGCGGCATGATGCTCTCTGCATTCAGGGCACACTCAGTGCCTTGTATGCAGAGAACACTGCATGCACAGTGACGTCATTAGCTGGAGCCAATGTGAATAGCGTGCTCTCTGGCCATTTGAAGGGTTGGGCTGCAATGACATCACACCAGGGCATGCTCACAAATGTCATGATTGCGGCATGATGCTCTCTGCATTCAGGGCACACTCAGTGCCTTGTATGCAGAGAACACTGCATGCACAGTGACGTCATTAGCTGGAGCCAATGTGAATAGCGTGCTCTCTGGCCATTTGAAGGGTTGGGCTGCAATAACATCACACCAGGGCATGCTCACAAATGTCATGATTGCGGCATGATGCTCTCTGCATTCAGGGCACACTCAGTGCCCTGAATGCAGAGAGCAATGTGCAGGTGTAGTGATGTTATCAGCTGGAGCCAATGTGAATATTTACTAAAAGACTCAGGTTTAGTAGATATTCACGGTACCTATAATGTTACCTGTGGGTACAATTTTAAAATTACCTCTTTAAGAAGGGCTATTGGAAGGGGGAATAATAAAACAGCTCGACCACCTATTTTTACTGTCCTCCAACCGCAAACATAAACTAGGCCATACGCAGCCCTAGATTGCAATAAAAAACTCAACAGGAGTTCAAATGCTTCCCCACTCTCTCCAAAGCTAGTAAAAAGCTTTTGGCTTGGCATACACTTTAATTAATTGAAATCTTCAATTCTGTATAGCAAGTACAGCTCTCCCGTGGATGAGTGGGAAATGTTTTGATTTTAAGGTATAAGTGGCTCGCCTAACGTTCGTCATCTAGATAATATAACAAACAGGGAAAATGTAATTTAAAATGTTGCCTTTATTCACACCAAGCATTAGCGTATTTGAGCACGTCAGCCGTGACAACAAAAGAAATATTTTGTTACATGTGCCGCATAAGAACTCTCGTACTTTGATCCAGAAGTACTTTATTAATGCACTGTTCATCACATTTGCCTCACATTGCAGACTTTTATGTGGATATTTGTCACGAGCGGTGTTCTTCAGCTAGAAAAATGTTTAGCTGTCATTGGCCAGAGCAGGGAAATGATTCCGTACGGAAGAAAGCATTCTTCAACACTCGGCATGTCTTAAATGATGTGCTAAATGGATGACTTTGTATATATTTATTTAATGCGTGTATTTGTTTGTCTGGGCTGATTTCTGGTGGAACATTAGGCAGAAAGGTGACCTAGCAAGTGCATATGTCAATGACAAGATTGTGCTGTAACAATCCGGAGCATGCTTTCAGCATTCCAAAATGAGATTGCAAAAATCCTCTCAAATATGACATCTGAAATGGCATTAAAACACAATTTCCCTTGGCAAAGGTTTTAAGGCACTCATATGAAAAGTGACACCACTTTGCACGCTCCTTTGTCAGCATTATGCGATGCGTAGCTCACAACTGACATTAATCCATTAAGAGCGCGAGGGTCATTTATTTTCTTCATAAAGTCATTAAATACAATTATTGATTTCTGTTCAATCAGCAAGAGTTGCCAGCTTTTTTTTTTATCTTTTTAACACAAAGCGTATTTCTGAGTATTAAGACGTAGCGTCCTATAAGCCTCTGTACATTAACGTTTCTCATGTAAATAATGCCTATCTTCAGTAAAAGGTTCTTGTCATTCTTCCTTTCAAATACACTGAAGGAAGAAAAAAATAAAGCTGCCACTTAGAACAACAAGTAAATGTACACATATTTTAAAGTGCACTTACTGATGTGATGCCCCTGATCCTTGGAAATTCCGAATGGTTTTTGGGGGAGGGAGAGCAGAGACATAATAGGAAATGTTTTAATCTAGCTCCTTCACTGGGAATGATATTTGTAAGTCTGTTCCACCCTGATTCACAAACTTATTTACTGTGGAGATCCTGATCAAATGCTGATGATCACTGCTTGGTCACACATCAACGCTCATTGTAATCTGGGGGGTGTTGATGAGCTGATTGAGATTACATCCCACATTTTATTTACAATAGTTTGTGGACTGAGGTTCATACATTAAAATATGATGCATTTCATGCACAGCCAGAGCTGTCGGTTTCTCTCTCTCTGGAGAATGCTTTTATATATCTTCCATTCAAGAATATCCGGGAGAAGAGAGAGAAGCAGACCAGAAATGGTACTGCTGGACTCCGTGTGCAGTTTTCAGAGGGACTTAAAGTAGAAGGCTAAACCATAAATCAACTTTAAAATGTTATCTCCCCATTGCTTTGTATACATATAATCATAAAGTGCAATACAAATACCTTTTAAAAAAAAATCTCTGTAGTCAAGTGAGCTCATGGACCCAACTCAGTCCCCTTTCTATGCTGCTGGTGGACATGAACACTTTCCTCTGCCAACAATGCCTAGAGCTATGGACGCTGGCTGGTGATCTCACTGCTGTGATTCAGGACCATTTTCAGTCCTCCACATTACCATAGACAAGTTGGTGCTTTGCAGTCACGGGATAACATAGAAACATGTTAAAGTCCTTATAGCGTGTTCAGAAATGTATGCTGGGCAGTGGGTAGGCGAAATGTTTAAAGTTGGTTTATTGTTTTGCCTTTGCCTCTACTGTAATTTTATATATATATATATATATATATATATATATATATACACTATATTGCCAAAAGTATTGGGACGCCTGCCTTTACACGCACATGAACTTTAATGACATCCCAGTCTTAGTTCGTTTGGTTTAATATTGGGTTGGCCTACCCTTTGCAGCTATAA